TAAATGGAGACTTCAATACTCCAGACAGAAAAATCAGCAAATATAAAGAAGACTTGCACAGCAATACCAGCCACCTTCACCTAACCGACATCTGTAGAACACTCCACCCAATAACAGCAGAATACAGATTCTTTTCAAGAAAACATGGATCATTCTCTAGGACAGACTATATATTATTTAAAAGTCTCGATAAAAATCTGAAGATTGAGATTATACAAAGTATGTTCTCTGATCATAATAAAATCAAATTAAATTCAATAACAGAAGGAAATTGAGGGAATCAACAATCCCTGGGTATAAAAGAAATCAGAAGGGAACTGTAAAAGTACTTTGAACTGAATTTAAAAAAACATAATAACATCAAAATCACGGCACTTTATTAAAGCAGTACTTACACAGAAACATATTTTTAAACACCTGTATTAGAAAAGAAAGGCCTCAAACGAATAACCCAAGCTTTTGTCTTAAGAACTAGAAAAAGACAAGCAAACTATTAAATGAAATGGAAAACAGAAAAACAATAAAGAAAGCCAATGAAATGAAAAGATGGGTCTTTTGGAAAGCCAGCAAAATGAACAAAATCTTAGCTAGACCCAACAAGAAAAAAGAGAGAAGATGAAAAATCAGGAAGGAAACAGAGAACGTCACTACTGATCTCGCATAAAGGAATAGTATGGACATCATGCTAACAAATTAGACAACTTGGATGAAATGAAAAATTTCCCAGAGGAAATTTCCAAATTATGGAAATTAACACACACAAAATAGAAAATCTGGATAGGCATATAATGAATTTTTTAAAAAACAAGAGTCGGTAATTAATCTTTCAAAAAGAAAAGACCAAGCCCAGGTGGCCTAATTCAGTAAACATCTATAGAGGAAATACATCAATTCTTCAGAAGCTAGGAGTAGACAGGAAAGCACTGGAGAAAGGGATGCGCTCTCCGGGTGGAAAAGATGCTCCAGGTGAGGCTCGAACTCACAACCTCGGCATCGCTCGCACACATACTGCCTATAAGTACCGCGCGCTGACCGATTGCGCCACTGGAGCACTCGCCCCCACTTCCGGTCACCCGTTACTCAGCCCACGCAGGGATGTCCGGCGCTGGCTCCCGTGGCTGTGGCCCCAGCGTCGCCGCCTTCCTGGAACCGGGGCTGCGGGTAGCGCACGAAGGCGGGCTGGGTCGAGCCACGGACCCCGCCGGGCCACGCCTCCTGCAGGCACGGAGGGCGCTCTGCTCGCGGGGCGAGGGAGACACTTCCAGGGCGACCGGAAGGCCCGACGTGAGCGGCGCCGGGGGAGGACCTTTGCGGCTGAGCTGCAGGCGAGCCTCCTAGGGCGGCGCGGGTCCCGGAACCCTGCCCTCAGGGGCCCTAAGCGCCG